TATTTTTTTTTGGTATTTTTCAAATTTTTTTCACGTTGTTCATTAAAAGTTTTTGAAAGTTCTTTTCTTTATAAATTTAAAGAGTGATCAGGGTAGTTTTGCAAGGATTTGTTTCAGTGGTAACAATCATGCTTGAGAAGACAAATCACAGAAGTTTGATTCAAGTCAGGACCTGTTTTTTGTGGAAAATTTTAGAGTTTCGTGTCTGCCGTCTTCTCGTCGTCTTAGGTCCCACCACAGATAATTTCGGCTTCTTTTCAGCATTTTGAAAGGTTTGTTTAAAGTTTTTTTATGATGCAGCTAATTTTATTCCAGAATTTTTGTTTTGCAATTTTAACACTTTTTTTGAAAAAAAAAGATGTTTTGATATTTTTTTCTTAAATTTTTTCATTTGTCTTTTCATTTGCTGGTAATCATAACCATTCAATTTTTGCCTTTCAAGTGATGCGAAGCTACGCTTCACGGCTGCGTAGAAAATCATAACAGAAGTTGATTATTTACGATATGTTTGAATTTACTTTTTTTAGTGGATTTTTAGCATAACTTTTGACTTGAAACAGTTCAAAATGTATTGATTTTTTCCAGCCACCCTCTAGGGGTAGGCAGGAACTATTTTTTTGTGATTTGTTGATTTTTTTAAGCTGATTTGGGCTGTTGGGGAAAACATGTTGGGGATCAAGCGTGGCTTAAACTTGTAGCTGCTACAGCCGTGATTCAGATTATTCAAAAATTAGCAAACATTTGTGTCAATAACGAGTAAAACTGGTCTAATTTTTTTCCTTTCTGGGCTGAATTAGGTAAAAGCTGACAGAATTTTGATTAGAGGCTGGAATTCAAAATTAGGTCTTCTACAATTTTAACTTTAATATAGCTAAAAGTCTAGTAACATCAGCTAAAGTCAATTGCCCCTATTACAAACTGAAAAAAGCAGGAAATTTTTTTTGCATCATTTTTTTTTTCAATTTGATCTATGATCAGTATCAGTTCGCTAGGAATTTTTGGTACTTAATGCACAGAAAACGGCTATGCTTTCCAAAACTTTTTTTACTTTAAAAAGATTTAAGTTTAGCCTATTTGATCCTGTGTTCTTCTGCTGGCAAGTTTTTTGAATAGTCTTACCCTGCTATTAAAAACCGGGGCTGATTCATAAGGAACGTCATTGCGCGAAGAAAAAGCTTAGTTTTTACCCTTGCGACAAGCAAAGGTATTTTAATCGGATACCAGTTTGTTTCCACGTGAAAAACTATGTTCACAGAAGGGTCAAATTTAGTAATAGAAAACTTATGCTCAGTTCATTATAAATTCATTTTTTTGTATCTGGGATTTTTATTCTGGAGTTAGTGAATTTGCCTGGGACGTCAAAGTTCCTGTGTTTGAATCTGACAGGACCTCTTTTTTTTTCAAGTGGGAGTTATTTGTTTAAAAAATTTTTTGTCTCTATATTTGCCTGCTTATGTTTTGTTGGCTTATATGCCACATCGTAGAAATAGTTTTTTTTGCGTTACACAGGTCACATTGTAGTTGCTTTTAGTCTTTTCAATTACTTCTGCTGATTGTACTTTTCCTAACCTTGATAGATTTTCCTTTTTTAGGATTTTTTTTCGCTTAAAAAATTTATTGTACCCGGCTGAATGATCTAGTTTTCAGTCGTATCTAGCGAAACAAGATTTTAATGCTCATCTTTGAATTGCATAAAAGTTTCAGACAAATTAGTTTTTTTTGTCAGCTCAATGATTTCGTCCCAGTTTTTGTCGGTTCACTGACCGGGTATTTGATTTCTGTATATTGTTGGTAGATTTTAGGTACTTTTTTCATTTTTAAGCGAGGGTAAATATAGTTAATTATTTCCTGAATTTTAAACGCGCCTAAATTTTCTATTAGAAGGTTAAAAACGGTTGCATTAAAATATTCTATTTTTTTCGGTGCAAGGTTTTTGATTTATCTAAAAGTGCGTAGAATAGGTTTGAATTTTAATTTATTGGTGTGTTTTAAGATCAGAATTTTTGGCTTGACTATTTTGTCTACAAAGATACATGGCGAATGTCGCACGATATTCAGGATTGTGATTTTTCCAGCTAAAATTTTCAAAAAATGTTTGTCCGAACAAAATTATTTTCAGTTTTTCTGCAAGTTATTAATGGAATTTTTTAAAAACTTCAGCATTCAATTTTTTGTTTCATTTTAATCTAAGTTTATAGCAAATTTTTCCTGTAGGTTTTGTGAGTTGTTTGGTTGCATATTTTATGAAAAGCTTTTGAGTACACAGTTTTTTTTCCGATGCCAAAAAGTTTTTCGCTTTTTGTTCGAGACACATTATGTTTTGGCATTTTTCTGTGTTGCAATTGGTGCGAAGCTTGGCATAGCCTCTTTGCAATGTTCAACTTACTTTTTGAAGGTTTTTGCTCAACCATCTCAATTTTTAGCATATCGTGTTTCTTTTTGAATGAAAATGGGCCGGCTAATTATGCTTCACTAAGAAATTAGGGATATCATAGTTTTGAATTTGTTGAATATGAAAAGGTTTTTGATGTGAGTTGGTGTATTTACCCAATTTTCTTGAAGAACCCTAACCTAGTTGAGATCCGAATACAGCCCTGTCCTCAGTATGTACGAGAACCAAATTGACCACAACGTCCCTACAACTGGCCCCACTATCCTACCCCTACACCATTCTCTATCTTTTTAACTGTTCCCAGAGCACCTTTTTTTAAAATCCCAAAAGATTTTTGGCTTCGTTCGTGCGAATTTTCTGGGGCTAGGTTTGAGTATGTCAGGCGCGCCCCCTCGGGGCTTAAAACTACAACATTGAAATTTTTATTTTTCTGAGAAAACAGGTACGATCTTGAAGCTACTAGCTGTTTAGTAGCGATAGTTTTTGGCATAATTAAATTTGGAAATTTGATTGAGTGTCCTGCGATGAGTTAAGGTATTTTTTTTGGTCGGAGTTTGTTTCGCTAGTAGCTTGCTGCGCTGGGTATAATTAGGTTTTTAGCCGCTGCTTTAAAACGAAATTGGGCATTTTGTTACGAAATTCTTTTCAACTAGGATTGTTATGAAGATTAAAGGTCATACATAGGTTATCGGGTTCAGTATCGTCTTTACGCAATAATTCAGACTTCAAGCGTAAACTGAAAATGTGGTTTCAGTGTCTAGTAAACCGTTCTAAAGCTGCTGCTTTTCAAACCAAAATAGAGCGAAGGAACGTTTCCGCAGACATATTTACTAAATTTGAAACTTAAAACTTGTAAAAGACATTAGTTTGACAAAATCAAAATGCATGATAAGCTTTCCATCACCCGAGAATTGAAAAATTTATTAAATATTGTATTTATAGTTTTTGATATCAAGGAAAAACATTAAGGGTCAATAAAATTGAAAACAGATATTACTGCACTATAACAAGAAGCACCTCTCTATAGTTTTTTTGTTTTTTTTTCGCTTAAAACTTGTGCCAAAACTATCAATATGATGATACCTTACCTAGATTTTTTCAGAGAAGCCTACCGAGGTTAATTTAGCCAAGGTTAACAAGAGAACTAAAATACAAACTGTTTTTTATATAATCAGCTTTGATAAAAGAACGTTATCAAAACCGACTGTTGTCAAACATTCGATGTTTTCATTGTTTTTTGTTTCTTGATGCCGGTCCTTGCTTGAAATTAGCTTTACGGTGAGCACTAAGATTAGCTGATGCTCAATCATTGGGAAGTTATTTGCTGCATACTTTGGTGGCGTCCCTCATGCTTGAAGGACCGAATGCTTGAAATTTATTTTAGCTTACTTTCAGCCAATCAGAATTGAGCATTCAAAATCTCAAGGTAAACCGTGAATATCTCAAAGTAAGAAAATAAATCCAGGCCATTAGTGTTTATACTGACCGATTAAATAATAAGCAGATGAGTTTTCAAGACTAAAAAATTCTTATGAACTTGAACTCATGAATCTTGATGTTTATCTGATTAGTATTGTGGTTGTAACCCTCAGTTTCTAATATTTTTGATTATTTTCCACTGATTTAAAACAATTTCTGTTAATATTGACTTCGATTTTGTGCGAAAGACATTTAGCCAATACGAACGCTTAGCGATTTTGATTGACTGAAACTTTTCAAGCATTCGGTCCTTCAAGCATGAGAACCCTCCCCGCACACTTTGTTTGCAGTGCAATTTAAGTTGTTGCCAAGGTGAAATCAGGAGACAAAATCCGGGCATTATCTGTTTAATCCCTAATGGGTATCCAATTAGGCCTATGAGTTTTTTTCAGACCAATTTCGACTTCATACTAGACAGTTTGAACGAAATTTTTATTATCATCTTATCGATATTGACGTCCTGAGCTCAAATTTAAAAGGATGATTGTCATGTAAGCCTTTTTTTAAAAGCCTATGTCTCGCTCGTGTTTGCGAAGTGCAGCTGCGCCTCTCTGTAAACGGTACATATATACATAATAGCTAACTTTAATAAGTTTTGTTGACCGTTCTATAGAAAGGTCGATCACACGCAAGCACGCACGCACACACACACACACACACACACACTCACACACGCACATACACACACACACAAACGAACAAACGAGGGTTACAATCATCTGCCATGTCAGTTCTTTTAGCCCCGTTATACGACTAGGTAGTAAACTCACTGATTATTTTCACTAATTTTGTCGGATGCCCTCCAAGAGAATAGCCTCACAAGATATCTGCTAATTAAAGTCCATAACCAGCAGTAAAAAAAAAAACATTTATCCGTTGCATTGCTTTGGCACTACGTTTCAAGCGCATTCAATTGTCTCTCAATTGTGCATTCAATTTTCGGGTGTTTCGACCCGAGTTATTCTGATAAACCAACTCTTTGAATTTTTGTTTGAATTGTTTGCTGCCTTGATGCTAGCAGAGAAGCAGACTTCATAATAGTTAATTCCAGATTGCACTTTTTGACAATAAATTTGTATGAAAGAGTTCCTTTGACGCAAAAAGCAGAAAACAAAGCGTGGATGTATTTGCAGCACGTGTCTCTTTATCGCACGGTAAGCAACACTGTTACCAAATACTGTTCTGTACTACAATCTGATGATAAATATTTTGATTCTTGTTGCTTTCATCATATGGTAGTTTAATTATTCAGATCTTGTCAAAATTAATTTTTGGTTGATTTTTGAGTCGTAAAACATGGTCAAAACTGTGTTTTTCTCGGTTCTGAATTCGCATAAAAATGTGGCGTTTCTGATCGACTGTTGTGATGGAAGCGTGAACAAATTCCCCTTCATCAGACGACAGCTAAAAGAAGAGGTTATTCAGAGGGAGGATGATGGATTGAACCTGTTTGCCCTGAACTTCGCCAAATATGGAAATAGTAGTGTCGAGTGCTGGAGTCCCGAACCTAGATTCGCCAGCGTCGGAAATGTTGTACAGGTAGATAATACTTCAAATAAATATAATTTTGAAGCCCTGATATAACATTGAGCTTGACATAAATTGATTGAAAAAGATTGAAAACTTTGAAATGTAGAAGCTGATTTATCACGCAGGAGCAAATCGATCAAATGAATTGAAAAAAAAATAATAATAATAGTCTGATTTATTGTTCCAACCATTTGAAAATTGCAGAGGAACTTTGTATTCGGGTGTGTTTGGTTTTGTTTCTTCTTCATGTACGACAAATAATCATCGGAATGGGTCGAGTTATATATCATATTAAAGACCTTTCAGGTGTGATTTGACGTGTTGAGAAAAACCGGTTTGAAGTTTTTGATTTTTGGTCTAATTTCGAGCTAATAGGGTCAATGTGCAGGCTTATAATAGCTTATCTAAGCTTAATTTAAGCCGTAAAATTTCGTTTTACTCGTGCAAATTTAGTTTGTGGAGTTTCTAAGCGCCATTTTGTGAATCAAAACTTTCAAAAAGTTTTTGAATTTATTTTAAATTTTTATAATTTTTTTTTGCGTTTTTCTACAAAAACTGTTTTCCAATTGGCCTATTTGGTTGTGACTGTCGAATATGCCTATTTTTTTTCCATTGAGATCTTTTTATTACACCACACAGAAAAAAAAACATTAACTTGAAAAAAAGTAATTTTATTTAAGGTTATGGTCGGAGCATTGATATATTTGCACAGCAACCGGCTATCCTTGTTTTTTGTCCTTGTTCAATTATTAAAATTTAAGCTGATTTTTGACCTGTTTGTTTATTTTTACAGGCTGCCCATTGGATCAACGATAGGGTAGGTTTGTCCAGCTTCGGCAGTCCCAAACTGATCCCAGCCATCACTCAGGTCGTCCAATCAAAACCCGACACGTCACCAGTTGATTGCATCACAGTCATCACTGATCACAGACCGCAAGAGTGCTTCGGTGATATCCTTCTAGCTCTAGAGGTCAGAGGTCAAATGATACCCTTAAACGTCGTATATCTCCATCATATTTCGAGCGAAGGCGACACTCTTGAATTTTACCGAAACCTGTGCTTGAAATCAGGAGGCGATCTGAAAGCAGTGGAACTTTCCTGTGAAGGCGACTTGGTAAATTGTGACGTAATTGTTGAAAACTCCAGGGCAAACGTAGTTCATAAGTTCACACCGTGTTTTCAATCCTGCTTCAACTGCTTGAAAGAAACGCAGAAAAATTGTATGTCTACTAGTTCATCCAGGAGCCCAAGCTATCGTGCGATAACCATGCAGGAAAGACCAAAGCCAATCCCAGTTCCGGCTATGGAACCTTATTCAGGTCTGACCAAAAATGCGATAGTCTTGGCACGCAGAAACGAGTCAGATGGGTACTTCTATCTAGCGAAAGTACTGGACTCAAGTTTGGCTCATGAGAAGCTGGTTGAATTCCTAGAAACTCCTAGACCGGAAGTGACGAAGTGTTCCAATTATGACTTGATTAACATCCGAGAGGCAATGACATACTCGATGTTTCCTGGATCGAGAGTGCTCGGCAAAATCGACACCCAAAAGTGAATGAACTAAATTCTATTCGAAAAAATTAAAATAACATTGATATCGGTTTTCCAAAAAAACTTCTCACTGAAATAAAATTTCCAAGGGCATGTTTGTTCATCAAGCGTTGAAAATATGCAGATATAAAAATATTGGATAAATTAAATGATATTTATTGAGTCCTAAATTTGTACCAACGATCAAAAGCTGTAATTATTTTATAGGTTCTGTCCTGGGACTGTTTTGCATGGATCATTGGACGCCTCTGCAGGCGAAGGTGCCAGAAAAACTCACGACAACCTTGTGATCGAGTATTGCAACGGTGAAATCATAGCGACGGCACCAAGCCGATTGGTACGCATACCCGAGTCGCAATTCTATTGGCTGCAAAAGTTTTTCAATTCGACCAATCAATGTAGAGTTACCAGGGAGGATCTTGATATCAATGCGGCAACTGCACAGTTGGGATCGCGAAGACCTGAAACGGGAGTTAAGGCGAAACTGGACAGGTTTTTCGGAGACGAAGAACCGACTACATGGCATCGACATATGTACTCGCAGTTGCCTCACTACGACTTTGACAGGGTGGGTTTCTAATTTTTTCTTTTCTATTTTTCAAATGATCATAGTTTCCTTTACAAATTACTGTTGGAATCTCACATAAAAATGGGACTCTGATTTGATACCACAGTTACCGCTTACTCGCAGCTAATCAAAAATTTCATTTTTTTTTTATTTCTGAGTTAATTGAATAAAATTACATCTTAAAGTTGGACGAAAAGTTATATATTTTTCTCAACTAGAACAAGTACGAGAGTGACAAGCAGTTGATTAAGTGGTACCAGGAGAGGTATCGGAAGCCAGTGTTTCTGGACTCTGATTCAGAACCCGAGGAAGACACTTTTGAGTTCACTCGGCAGCCGAAGAAGCTGCAGTTGAGGCAGACGTGGCACGACCACTACCTCAGTCTGAGGAGGGCGGACAGTGAGCGGGAGTGGTACAAGAAACTGCTCAAGAGGGAAAACGAAATCATGAGGTATGTTTGATCATGTGCAATTTGAAGTAGTACTTTATCATGCGTAATATGAAGTAGATTGGAGCGAGTATATTTGTATTTGATTTGACTAATTCGTCGTATCATTCTGAATCTTTGAAATTTAAGTTTTGCGTTGGTGCTATGAATGAGGCAAAAGCTATCATTTTGAAAAGGAGTTCTTTTGAAGAACAATATACATTTAAAAATAATTACCATTATAGCTTATTTAGGCAAACGAGAAACATTTTCCTGTTAAACCGCCATTCAGGATAATTGTTTGCTGTCGTTTGTTGCTTTTTTCGCAAAACCCGTTAACTGATTTAATGTAGACGCCGACTTACGAGACGACCCAAAAGTGCCTTCGACGCTCCTCCGGCTCCATGGCGCCAGTGGCTGAAACAAGGACAGGAGCCGCCTGCAGAATACCAGAGGCCTCCAAGGACCAACTTCGGAACCAACACAGATGACAGAAGTACTTCCAGACTAGGAATGCACATCATGCCCTCAAACAAGCATGACTCACTGTTTAAGACTCCGGGGGGCAGCCATGGTAGAGACGTGAGCGTGAAAAGATTGCTGATTCAGACCGACCCTAATAACCCTCCTGGGTCACGTGACCATACTGAAGCTATATACTCAAAGAGATGGTGACGTAGAGTCATCGAATATCTATTCAGTAATTGTGTGTATTAGAGATACTCATTCTGTCATTCCGACTAAAAAAATTGTGATCTTGCGTTCAAATTAAATAATAACTGTTTTCATCGTTTTCAGAGCTGCATTTCAAAAATGAAATCAAGAATAAAGAAACGTTTTTATGTTTAGAACTGTTTTTTGATTATTTTGATTGTTTTGTTTCGACGCAAATAGTTTGAATTGAGTTTCTGTTAATGAACGGGGCAAAATTCATTGCTGTACTCGTTTCCAACGGCCCAAGGGTGCAAAAAGCGGTTGCCTATGCTCGGTTTTTGATCACGCGCTTTAGGTACCTCGTATGTTCAATATATTTCATTGGTCTGTGGTGATGCCAAAAGCTGTTCCTTGATTGGCTTTGTCCTGTGGAATACTGAGTTTTATCAAATCGATTATCTGAGTTTAATTAAAGAAATTAACTTGCTTTGAAAAATAATTTGAATAAACTCGAATTCTTTCGCGTCAAAATCAAGAAAAGCCGTCTTCTGAACGTCATCTTTTTCAGCAACTAAAAACAGAAGATATACGTCACCTAAATATCATTACCCATAATCAGTTTTCACATCAAAATAGACTAAATTGGCAAAAGATAGCCCTTTCCGTTGTACCATGTAATGATAAACTTAACGATACTAATATTTAGTCCCGATCAAAATAATAAACTATTAGTACAAAGTAATGTCCAATTGATATTTTGTGTAAAGTAAAAAAGATTTTTTTTCATGACATTAGAACGATCAGATTCTTGTTTCTAAATTAGCTGAAAATGAGCACTTCTGCAACTCTGAGAACAAGTAACTACAGTATCTATTGCATTTATCGGTGAAATGATATGTTGAGTTACAATTACTTCTTTTTGCTGAGCTCATTAGTTCGATAGAACCGGAAAGAAACTCCATTATAAATACTAGAAACTTGAAAAAAAACTAATTGTGGTTGGAACCAGGGGCGGGGGATTCGACATCCCCCCCCCCGGGGTTCGACCCTCTGCCGACCCTAAAGGTCTCCCTTTGAACTATTTTGAGATATCGATTTTTGGCTGACGGACCCCAAAATTTTTCTTAAGGCGCCTTTGGTGCCAATATATACTAATTTTGAGGGGGGAGTGCGCGCCGAAACAAACGCGATTTTTTTGTCTAAATTTTCCAAAAACTGACTAAAAACGCCCTTTTTGGTCTGTTTTTCAAAATTTTGCATACGGCGCAAAAAATGGCCAAAATAGGGTCTTTAGTGATTGCAAGAGCTCAGAAACTCAATTTAGCCGATCTAAGCAAATCAACAAAATTTTCGTTTTTTTTTTGAAAATCCGCCCTCCCCACGATAAAATCCTAGATCCGCCCCTGTTCATAACATACATTTCTCAGCTTTTTTTTTCAGATATTCGACCCCCTGACTACCCAAAAAGTCCCTCCTTTGCTACTGTTTTAAGATTTCTATTTTCGGCTGGTTGACAAAAAAAATTGCTAAAGGCTCCTTCGACGCCAATATATACAATTTTTAGTGTCCAAAAAGTGACTAAGAACGCCTTTTTGGGCCTTTTAAAAATAATTTGGGCAAACAATTTGACCAAAACAGAGTCTTTTAGTGATTTGGGAGAGTTCGGAAAATCTATTTGGTCGACCTGAAAAAAAGGTCGACAATATTTTCAGAAATTTTTTGAAAATCCGCCCCCCTCGTGAAAATCATAGATCCGTCCCTGGTGGGAACTTTAAAATAAATCAGGTATTCTGGGGAGAACAAGTTGACAATACTTCTTCAAACTAAAAAAATTTCAGGGCAAATTTTTTTCTCATGAAAACCAAGAAATATTATCAGCATTACGGTAATCGATAACTCTGCCCAATCGAAGAAGTTTATCTAATAATAATACTTACCCCAGTCCGGATAAGACTTGTCCAAGTCAGATTGGCCACATTTGCCCCGTTTATACTTGTCCCAGTCAGACTCGTTTGGTTTTAAACGTTCACCTACGTTTTTGTGTTGAAAAATGTTTTTTCACTTTTTTGTGTTGAACTTCCTTAAAAATTCATTGAATTCTCATTGCTTTTGAAAAAAATTTTAAAAATAATTTTCATATGCTTGGAGTGTTTTTCATTCAGACTAATTTCGGCGATCGAAATATGCGTTTAAAAAAATGTATTTCAATGAAGATATCGTCTCCTTCATTTCAATCTCAAAAAAATATCGGTTTTTGATTTTTTGGGATTTGAAAACTGCCAATTATGTATGCGCTTTTTTACTCAAGTGAAGCGTAGTGTAGTATAATGAGAAATTTTTTTCTAACTTGAGTCGCAAATATAAAAGGCTCATTTGGTGGCTTTTTTGGTATAAATCAATTTAATCATATTTAAGCTTATTTAAACAAAAACAATTTAATAGCATTTGTTGCTGCTTTATTTTTGGCTAGTGTTAGGTTTCATTTAAAAAAGTTTCCTATGAAAAAGTATGGGATTTGTTGTTTTAAATGCACTTTTCTCTAAAATTACTACACCGCTTTTTAAAAACAAATAGTACGAATAGAAAACCCGGCCTGCATATTTCACATAACATAATTGCGTACCCGGCCTATTTCGCATCATTCGCATAACCTGCTTTCTATGTGTCTGCATGTTACGCTAATCTCTTTTTATTTTACCTCTTGTTCTACGGCCTTCAAAAGTTTCAGTAGGAGGATTTGTGGCCTACTTGTTTTGATTTCTTACATTTTCTCAAATATAACTTTCACAAATCTGAGATGAAAGTTTTATTCAAATGAAAAATATGCGGATCTCCCTTTCTCAAGCGGCTGTTCCCTAAATTCGGCGGAAAAATCATAAATGCCTCAAACAAGCCCATTTTTTGACAATTTGCAAATTTTTAAAACCATTTACTCTTTTCTCAAAAACTACCCTGCCAAATCGGAGATTAAGGGTTTAACCAAAAAATTTAGTTATGCTAATCCTACTTGCGCAAGCGGTTATACCCTGCGTTTTGAAAAACATGGCCCCCAAATTTGTCCAATTTTCGAAATTTTGATGTTTTTTGGAAAGTTGTTCTTTTTTTTCAAAAACTAACCAGCCAATATCAGTTTAATATATTAGAAATTACAAATCTTATAACAAGTTATTTCAATATCGGCGACCGTGGCGCAAATTCGAGGACATAAGACTCCTAATCAACAGGTGGGATTTTCGGATTTGGAATATTTAAAAAGTTTTTTGGTCGAGTTTTTGCTGTTTAACTTTGGCAAGCTGATAGAAACTGTAGCTGCTTTTCTGGTGGCTAGTGTAAGTAAAATTACAAGCGTTCGTGAAGCAGATGTGAGAACGTGATACTCCTAATCTCAACAATTTTTTTTCAAGGGTCATTTATAGGCTTTGTTTATTTCATTTTGTTTTGCTTGCTTATATCTTTTTTTTGCATTTCCTAGCTTGTTTTGGCGAAGCGCAGCTTCGCCTCTGTGTTTAAAATTTATCATTGCTGTTGAAAACGTAACTTGATTATTTTATTCATGGCGAAATATCCCGCAGTTTAAAATTGATTTGAGGCAAGCTCATATCATTACACAAGCAAAGCGTAGTGTCATAGTATGAACTGTTATTTCCAACCGCTCTATTTTGGTGGCAATTTTGCAGCATTATATCAAATTTACTGCGAATGCATAGCATTATGTCTTGGTATTTGGTTTATTGGTTGCTAGTTCCTATTTGAGCAAAACAAATACTATGAAAATGTATGGAATTTAGTTTTTTGATGATGGTTTTTTGTGGAGTTTTTAGACATTGATAATGTTTTGGGTATTTTCCCAATTTTAAAATTCTTCTGGAGTATTGCTGAACCAATTGTTGAAAAATGATAGCAAAAAAAGACTAGTTTTTTTACCCGACGTTCTACGGTTTTCAAAAATTTCAGTGGGGAAATTTTTTACCCAACTTTTTTTGAATTTTTTCAGTTTCTCGAAAACAACTTTGTAAAATTACTAAGATCGACAAATAAATCAGAAGAAATTAAATTCTGGAGATTTTATCGCATAACCTGCTATAACCTAATTTGAGTAGAAAATAGCTATACAAGGAAAATGTCAAAATTTGACAGTTTTTCCGAAACTTTATTTTCTCAACAACTACCCTGCCAAATCTGAGATCAATAAGTCAATTGTAAAAACCATCACCGTAATTTCTCCTTGCATAAACGGCTAAGCTGAAAGTTTTGCAGAAAAAATATAAACATAGAAGGTCCATAAACATAGGTCCAATTTGTAATAATGACTGTTTTTGAAAAGTTTTGATTATCCGCAAAAACTACCCTGAGGTTAAGGACAGGGAAATCTTCTCTGTATAAGTAGTGTGGCTCTATTTTTTTATTTAAACGTTTTTTTGGTCTTCGCAAATGAAAAGTTAATGAAATTTTCGCGTGCTTTGGAAACTACCCGGCCAAAGCGTAAATAAATAGTTCAATCGAAAAACAGGTACTAAAACTTTTCTCTGCATAACAGTAAGTCGCAATTTTTGTAGAAAAACTATTTTATTACATGAAAATTTCCTTGTTTTGAAATGTTGGCCGTTTTTTCTCAAAAGCAACGGGATCCAATGTATAATTAAGTGTTCGATTGAAAAACAAGCTTCAGGGGTATTCCCTGTATAAATGGATTGATCCAAATAATTAGGCAACCTGCTTTAGACTTAAGGAAATCTCAACAATATGTAGTTTGAGTTAATTAAAATCATTGAGAAACTATAACCCACAAAACTTCAGTTTTTAAAATAGTGACCGTTTTTCTTGAAAGTTTTTTACTTTTGCAAAACTACGGAGTCAAATCTGATACTAGGGGTTCAATTGAAAAAACAAGCTGGAGAAGTGTCCGTTGCTGCTTGAACATTTTTTTGTCAAATTTTGCCAACACATCTGCTATAAACCAGAAATACACGCATTTTCATACGCATTTTTTGAACTTCGTGTAAATCTCCAAAAACGACTGTACCAATTCTGAATTTAAAAATATAATTGAAAAAAAAAACTCGCCTTTTTCTGAAAAAAAGTTTGCGCGTTTTGATAGAAATGAACTATGGACTTTGTATATGGTATATGACAT